CACCTTTGTCATCACCGTCGCCTCTGTCATCGCCTCTGTCGTCAGCGTCACCTCTATCATCACCTGTGGATGCATGTGTTCCCGACGCAAATAAATCGTCGTCGTCGCTCGATGTGCTGTCGAACAAGAAGTCACCCTCGTCCCAACGCATGCGGGCCCTGCGAATGCCACCATCCGTCCGCTGTCGCCGAGTCCGAGGAGCGGAACCCGCATCGCCACGTGTACATCCTCCGACACCTACTCGTCCACGGCCGCCACGTCCCCGACCACCAGCCCTRCGTCGCCTCCTGTCCGACTCCGCCACCCGACGCTCGGCTCCCATGCGGGAAATGGCGCGCATCCTCTCTCTGGCGAGGCTTAACTCCTCATTGGTCACCATCGCCAGAACACCGGTGCCTCTGACGAGCTGCTGGTCCACGGCTACCTCGTCCTCCACAGCCTGCAAATAATGCACCCATTTCCCGAAGTCGCCGGGCCTCTCTCCAACACCATCGTCGCACAACGAAGGTCGATCGAGTAGCCTGAGGTTCCAGTGGCACCGCACAAGCTTCTCAGCCCGGGGAACCTCCAACCAACCCGTTGCGTGACTTCGAGTGAATGAAGCTCCAATGAGACCACGCTCTCTCGCACGGTGAGGCGGTCGCCCATATACGAAGGATCATGCCTGCAAACACGGCCGTGTGAGGGAACTTCGCCTTCTTTGAGGACCAAAAACTGGCAGGGTGATCAAAGATATCCGCAGCTCGCCGCATGGTGAGCTCATCGAAAGGGGTTTCCCTCGTGTGGAGCTTGGCGACCGCTCGTTGGACCTCCCGGTGCTGCGGCGAATCCTCCGGGTAGCCGAACTGGACAAGGGCCTCGACCAAGGCCTGCTGCACCTCCGCATCGTCACAAAGCGTCGCGTCCCGGAACTCTGGATCTAGCAGCATGACTGCCGTGTGGGCGGGAGTCTTGAACATGGTGCGCCGTCTGTGGAACACCTCCACATTAGCGTCCTGCTGCTCCCGATCAATGTCACGACATGCGGATAAACAAGATGCAATCATTTCCTCGTAACATCGCAGAATCTTGCTGATCTGGCGTGTGTCGCTGTCCATCAACTTCAGCATGCCCATGATGGGCTCTACCATCTTGCACAGAGCTCTCAAATCCTCCCACCATGGAGGGGAGCCGATACATGCAGTGACCTGGGCTGCATCCTTGCGGATCTTGCTGGTCGACAAAACAGTCTCGCGCCAGTGATCGTCGGCCACAACATCTGTCAACGCGGCCCGCAGTGCCACCAGCCTCTCCATCATGATGACGTTCGTGCCGAAACGCGTCTCCGCCGGTAGCAGAAGAGTCTTCGTCGAGTGCGCCTCAAGAACCTCTCTCGCATGTCCATGGCGCTTGAAGAACCTTGTAACCAGCCTCGCTTGAGAAATGCGGGAAGCCACCCAATCAATCCCGCCGATGTCCTCGAGAATGAGATCTATGATGTGGGCGACGCAAGGAATCCAGAAGATGTGCTTCACGCTCTCATCTTTTTGGAATACCTCCATCGCCGCGACGTTCACCCCGGCGGAGTCCGTCACGAACGCCGTGATGTCGCTCAAATTAATGTCCATAGACTTCACCCTTTTCAACCATGCGTTCGCGAGGGCACTGGCGTCCTTTTTGCCACGCATGATGTCGGTGGACACATACACCACCCCGATCTCTGTACCAACAAGGTAGTTGCACAACGTCTGACCACGGATGTTGGTCCAACCATCGGTCATGATTGTGCAACCGGTCTCTCTCGACGTGTCAAGCACCGGCCGAACACACTTCTGGACCTCACCATCCAGCTCGTCCAAAAGGGTCATGCGCAGCATGTGGTACGAGGGAAGTCTAGGCGCGGGCGCCCCTGGAACCCCCGGGGGGATTATCATCGTGAACATGCGTTTGAAGCTTTCAAGCTTCGTGCTGTTGAAAGGCATCCCGCTCTCGACGATGAACCGCATGATTTGCAGATGTCATGCGCGCTCCAAAGGGTCCGAATAATATGACGTGACGGCTTGCTGCCTGTAAGTGCCCCAACATCGTCCCGTCGTAGCTCTCCCGCCGAGGACCCCAGCATCCAACAACCAGCCAGGGTTCACAGGTGTCGCGCTCTGGGCGACTGCAAGGTCACGAATGCGCTGCAAAGGGTCTAACGTTCCGGTCAACACGGGTGGAGGCTGTGGGGCAGACCGACCACCGCCCGTGGTTGTCGGAACAGGGGTCGGCGATGAATCGGACACCAGAGCGGGGACCTCCTCGGCAGGCACCCCATGATCCACTTGTTCCCCGAAACGAGCCACGGAAGCAGAATGTCGAGCATCTGCAGGTGTGACGGATCCGGGTGGGCGGTTCCGTAAGCGTGGTGGACCATTGGACGCTGCGCCGCTCTCGACGGTGGCGGTGGCAGCCAGGGGTGCTCCGACGAACTGCGGGGTGATGCGCCAGGTGCCACCGCAGTACCACCCCGTGCGGCATCTGACTGCCTAGCACTCCTGAAAACAGGGGCGAGCGCGGGCGCTGAACTGTCGGCACTCCCCCCCCACCGGCGACTCTCAATAAATGCACGTGTGCTCTCCTCGTCAAATGCCGCAGAGCCCACACCATCCCTCAGAGGCGGGGGCTCGTTGGCTGGCGTGGAACGACCAACTCCGACATCGCGAGCACCTCGTGTCCCAGCCAGCGGCGCAGACGGCGGGGCTGGCGGTCATGTTGCAACTGTTGTTGCAGGACGCGGTACTGTGACTCGAATGGCCGGAGCCCCGGAATTGGGCGATGCGACGGCTCCAGAAGGGGCGGTGGGAGGAACCAGCGGCGGCACTGCGTCCTCGGGGAATCGAAGAGGTGGCCACTGCAAGCTCGGATGACCTGGCAAGTGGCTCTGCAATGTTTCTATGGCCGACACGAACTCCTTTGGACATTTTGTCATGTCCTCCGACCAGATCGCATTCCACACAGCAGGAGTGGCTGCCTCACATCGAAACTTCTCGCTCTTCGAGAAGTGCTCCCTGACGGCTTTAGCGCCCCCACAAATCGAACGCCCGCACAACCTGCACAGGCATCGACGACCGCTCTTCCTGCCCGCCGCCGTCGACCCATCCAAATAACGCCCTCTGGCCACGAAATGCCACACCGGGTCGTCCTGCTTGCCGTCGACTGTCGGGTCGACCTTGAACGGCGAGTCAAACGTCTTCCTGTTATGACCTTGTCGGGCGGTCGTGAGCGAGTCTGACGGATCCTTCCCCCGGTCCTGCGACATGAGGAAAGTCGCCAACCGCGGAAAAAAAAGACGATGTCGGAACCCTCTGAGAATGTTGCCAACTCACAACAGAGATCGAAGTCGGCGTCAGAGCGGCAAAGAAATGCTATGAAACAGGCAAAAACGATGAACGCAAAGTGCAGAACACCTGGACATCAGAGGGAAAACACAAGACGACATGAAACAAAAAAACAAACAACCAAAGAACAACAAAAAAAACTCAGAACTCGGAGGCAAAAAAAAAGAAACGTCGATGTTCTCTGTCCCTTGTCAAAAAAACGACAATGTTCTCCGCAAGGCAACCGTTCCACAGGCAGAACTTCCGATTCCAGGAGGGCGATCCCACTAGCCACGTATGTAGAACAGTGTGACTGGTGTGGGACGGCTGGGGGACAGGCGGGTGGTAGAGGGAAAGAGGGAAAATAAACGGAAAAAAAAGAGGGCAAGATTAACTCCACACATCATTTGCTAACTCCACACACCAACAAAAGAGAGAGAGAGAGAGAGAGAGAGAGAGAGAGAGAGAGAGAGAGAGAGAGAGAGAGAGAGAGAGAGAGAG